CCCCAAAAGACCTTGTGGAGGTGGTAGTGCCAGTGTAGTATCTGCTAGTACAGCATAATGCCAGTAGATTGTTTTTCTCTGGATGCTTTAGAAGGTGTCCTGACCCGTGAAGCAGTGATTGAAAGCATGAGGCATGTCTCTATCACAGTCATTGGTCTAACCAAACTAAAGCTCCATGCTGGTCCTTCCATTGGGCTCTTCTCCAACTCCTGTTTATCTTTCCATGACACATACACTGCAAGCAAATGCCCTTCTAAACAAAAACTGTCATTATGAATTGAAGGCATTTGTTATATCAAAGAACTTACAATTTAAAAATAATTTTTTTTGCATAAAAGGAGGAATAACAATGGATATTTTATCACCTGGTAAAAATGAGCTTTTAGCAAATCTATGAGTGAAGAGATGACAAGCAAGTGAAATGATTTGGGGAGGCTACTCTGCAGGAGGATGGAAGTACACAGGCAGGTGAAGGAGGCTGTTTCTCACTGATGCTGGGTCTTTGGCGTCTTCTATATACCACAGTTACTCATAGTTCCTCCACAAAAATGCTAAAAAATGTGTAAATTTTCTTCAGGAAATTCACTAGAAATTTTTCTAGCCACATACTTGCTGGTCTATTGTTTAACAAACATAGTGAAGAAAAACCTGATGGAAACTGCATTTATTCAACGGATATTCATGCTGTGGGAATGCTGAACAAATACAACCAGACTGCAAAAATTTGGGAAAGAAAAAGCCAAGGTAGTCAGCAGAACCATTGTTCTCAGCAAAAAAAAAATTGCATTAATCTCTTTCTGCTTCTGAAAGTAAACGACATGAAATGCTCTGCTTGTATTTGATAAAGCTGAGGCTTGACTTTCTTGGAGAAGAGTGAAGCTTTACGCTTCTGCTCCCACTGACAGTGTTGTGGGCAGCCCGCTGCGTTCACAGCTGACCTTGCCTTGGCTGGATCTGTCTGCCTCAGATTATACTATCACATGGATGTCTCATGCAGCGAGCTCCCCTTTGCTTACAGTGCTCCTTAGGCCAGTGAACCAAGCTGAAATGACCTGGAGCCTCACTCTGCTCTCAGGCTGATGAGAACTGAGGATACCAAACCCTTGCTAAGGCCCGTGGAGGCACAGTGCTGCGAGAGCAAACACAGGCCTCTGTAACGTTCATGGGGCTGCATCCCAGAGAGAGATCAGCTGTGCTGATAGCAGGGGCTAGTATTAAATCATCACTCAGGTTTGAAAACACATTAAATCAGTAAAGAAAATACATGAATAAAGGCAAACAGAAGAGAAAGTTGCTACCCTGCAGAATGCGTGATAAATCATCTATTACAGGGGGAAAGAGGCTTTCAGACAGGAATGGCAGCCTATGAGTCTACTTCTCTGCAGAAAACAAGCACCCCAAGAAACCTCTGCTCAGAGGACTGAAGCTGTACAGATGGCTGGGCTTCCACCTGGCTCCCCAAGCCTTTCTTCTGACACCATCACTCCCAAAGAAGGTGGTGTGAAGTATTCAGCTACTTACCCTGCCACGTCAGCATGGAGGTGTGTGCATTCTGTGTCTTAACGTACAGGAACAACTTCGCTCTTTTCTTCTGACAGAAAAGAGATTTTTTTGCTTTAACCGAGTCACAGCAGCAGAAATACCCCGTCAGGGAGGATACTGGTTTGAACTACCCTTGGCAGGTAGGTGGTTTGGCAAGGTCAAAACCCAGGAAAATCCCGCTATCCAGGCGACAAGCCATCATGGGCACAGGGGAAGCAGCAGGCCTGGGGCTCTTTCAGGCCTACTTGGAGTCAAGTTTTTGGTGACATAATTAGCTGCCTCGTGTGGCAGCTTGAAAGGACGGATTCCCGTGGCCAAATTGTTTTGGACTGAAGCTATTTGACAGCCTTTAACCCAGCTTCCCAACTAAGTTAGAATGACACATGCAACTTTATTTGGTGTTTGAATTGTGAAGGAAATTACTTTCCTGTTCTGCCAGAGGCTTCTTTTATCTGATGTCCTGTAAAGAGGAACAAACTGCATATAATAATGACATCTTGTGGTAGTCGTTGAATTAATTGCCCTATGATTTAGTGGAAAATTGGATGCCAAATTTCATGACATCTTTATCCCTCCATGCTGCAGTTATGCAAGCTGAAACTTAAAATTTCTGCTTGTTTGAGAATCTGGATGCAGGAGACCTCTAGAACCTTTGGCTTATTGTTGACTTCAGAGGAAAAGGATATTTTGGTCACTTGATTACACAGGCCTGGCTTAATATATAGGTCAGAAATTCATAAGGGTAACTGATTTAAGAGTGGTTATCCAGATGTTCATTCAGAAAATACTAGTTTTGGTAATACTGACTGTAGAGGCCCATGGAATAGGCCTGCATTTGCTGCGCCATGGCTTTGTCCTGGGTGTGAGAGTAAGTGGAGATAGCCTTGGCTGGCAGCCTATGAAGCCCAACAGCTGCTGAACATCTGTACAGACTCTGCAGTCTTGGTGAGCAGCCACCATCATCCTGCGGTACAGAGATGTGTGGTGTCACACAGAGTAAACCCCCAAGGCCTCACATTGCCATTGCTCTCTTATTTCAGCTCTGGTGCTCAGGTATCCAGCCCCTGCCATTAACTGTGTGGGTATCCAAGGATCTTGTGAAGCTCTAAGCTGAGTGCAAGCTGTGGGACAGGTAGTAGTCTCCATAATTGTGACACTTCACTGAGTATCCCATTTTGCCTGTTTATAATCATGTTCTTCCTGATGCACTCTCTGCAGTGCTTGCTCTGCTCGAGGTTAGAAGCTTTTCAGAACAGACAGCACACTTTCCTGCCACTTTGCACAGTCCTTATCAGCACAGAACGGCTCAGCTTTCATCAGGGAGTTGGGATGTTGACTAAACAGACATAATAAATAAGACTAGCAGGAACAGCTTAGGGATATATTCCTACAGGGGTGTCTGTTTATCCCATCATGTGTTTGGTGGGTATCTTTAGGGCTTACCAGGTCCTCAGCAATTTCTACTGTGACAGAGCTGATTTCTCAGGGTTTTTTTGGACAAAGGTGGCTTAAGCCACATGTCAAATGCCTTTGTTTTTTCTTCAGGGCTACAAAGGCCTCTTAAATAGACTTATAGTTTATACGCAGAATGTATATACAGCTCTGTTTCCCAGCTGTGAGGAAGGAGGCAGGAGAAGACCGGATCACTTCTGAGAAGCTCAGAAGTGCTGGTGAAATCTCACATGTGTCAGAGAGTGAAATAACACAGCTGATCAGTTGCTAACACAGACTGTGGAGTGACAGAGCAGTGCTATGGGTCTCTGCACTGAATGCCATGGGGCATCTCTTCCCCATATGCCCCAGGTGCTGTCAGAGAGCCCTGTGTTCTCATTGGATATATGGCATATTGAGCTCTGCCTGCTTGCTTCAGGTCTGCACAGATGCAAGCAGGAGCCACTTGCAGGTTTCCCTGCTGAGACACAAAATAGATGACCATGAGACTCCACGATTCCATAACATTTAATGATAGCTATTTAGCTGTATTGATTTTTTTTTCCCCCGTGGGATGATGGCACCTATTGGACATTATTAAAAGAGGCAAAACAGTTCAAAGGAAATAAATACTTTAAACTTTTTTCTTTTTCCAGCAAAGAAGGATGAACTTTTGACTGTTTCCTACAGTTCAATATCTAGATAAAGAGCTTCTATTGGAGCATCCTGGATTACAGTGCCTCATTAGAAAACAAGAAAGAATAGAAGCAGAAAAAAACACAGGCAACACTACCTCTGGCAAAGAAATCAAAGTTCAGAAAAAAAAAGTACAGGTAAGATTTAACAAGGTAGTTTTTACACATTTTTCCAACGGAACTATAAACAACAGTTTTGGCATTTTTTAAACAAACGCTTAAATCTGTTTAGTAAATAAAGGTACCTTGAGGTACTCCAAGAAATCTTTTTAACGCTGGCCTTTCAATACATTCTCCAGCCATTAAATATTTCCTGAGTTGCATCACGTATAGGTGGAAGCAAAGAAGCCTCTATAGAACTACTTGGTCACACTGTGGCAGTCTGTAAAGACTCATATTTAAAATTGCAAGAAAAATGAAATTTTATAGACAAGGGTCTGATTCTGCTGAAGTAGAATTCAACACCCAAGTGTTGACATTGCATTTATTTAATACCCCAGACAATAATTCAGCCCCGAACAGTCACAAATAATACTCATTTTTTTAACACACGAAATAATCTCTTTGGCTTGATTGGATTGCTCACAACAGTAAGAGCAACAGGAATTAAGTCTTAACAGTACTGCAGTTCATAGATGTAATAAAGGAAAAAATTAATTTGTTCTTCACAACAGATCTAAAGCATAAAATATTCTGACTTTTCAAAGCTTTGTTAGTGTCTCTTCCACTTGTGATTAAAAGTAGTTTATATATCTAAAAGAGAAATATCCTAACATGTTCAAGAATTGCTTACACTGTTCTATGTTCTTATAAGACCATATTTATAATAATTTCAGTATATTCTGACCTAAAACATAGATGCAGTTTCTACGTGTGCCCATGTATCCCAGGCTTGATAACTGGTTTTGCAGAACTGAAAAGGTTAAAACCAACCAAGAACGTATGCAAGACTTACAAGTTTGCATTACTATACAACTTTATTTATAAAGATGTATAAATGAGTTGTTTTCAATTAATTTTCTCTACAGAGTTATACACAATTTAAAGGCAGATTATTTAAAATCCCAGTGCTCTCCTACACTGGAAGAGCAATCAAGTAGTTTAACTCAGAGACATATGAAGTAAATCAGAACAGCTTCACAGACTTCAAAGGCACTGTTGGAAATTATTCCCATCCCTTAATACAGCTTTATCACTGTTGGGGTTCTTGATGTCTTTTTTCTTCAAATGCTCTTTTATTTTGCTTTTCTTCATCTTATTCATAATCCCTGATGGGAAATTATTTTAATTATTTATTTTCTGTAATATGACAGTAAAATCAATAGATGGACTGGAGCATTTCTATTATACAAATTTTGCAAAGCTGTGATCATTATGAATCTTCATTTTTTTGTATTTGAGTAAATAGGAATTATGCACAAATGTGTTGCTCTTGTTCCTGTCATTACTATGTCAACAATACTGAGACCAAGTTGGACTTGATTTCAAAGTTATCTTAAAACTTGGCACTTCTCTATGAAAATCTCTTTCCTTTTCTGTGTTTGACATGTGGTCTCATTTCCTCCTGGTGTTTGAAATACAGTATCCATCTCAGGCCCATCCAGCCTTTTACAAGTTGTTTGGTTTACAATCTTGACCTCAGCCTGCCTATAACAGGTTTATTAATACAAAATTCTGCCCACCATGAAGGTCTGTTCAGTGCTTTGCTGCCTTGCAGGATCTCTGTCCACATATTTTTATATAACTGCAAAATAATAATAAAAAAGGATTAATTCACACAGAAAATAAACCAAAAAAATTCTACAAGAGAAATCAATTAACTTATAGTTGAAATGAGATTGTGATTGAATTTCTAGATAACATATGTGAATAATTATGTACAGGCAAGAATAAACAGAGAGATAAAGCTCAAAATTTCAAGATATCTGTCTTGATCATGTAGATCATCCTTGGCCTGAAAGCAGGAAATCAGTAACCTTTAGAATTTCTTGTTTTCAACCTGACAAATCCAGAAATTTGGAAATAAGGTTATATTAAGCTAATCTTTGTTCCATCCAAACCTGAAGACTGTGTCCGCAAGCACATGTGCATGTCTGTTTCTACCTCTATTTCAACACATTTCTGGAAAGTAACATAACTTCTCTCCCAGATGTGAACTGTTTGATCTGAACATAAGAAATTCCTCTCTTACAAACAGGTTGTTAATTCATCATCTTCATCGATTTCCAATTTTACGAGGAATGGTTTAAAAAAAGCACATGGGAAGTAAATTCTGCAAAAGTATAATTTTAGCAATATTTGGCAGTTCATAGTTAACTGAAGCTTAAAACCTTAAATAACATTACAGAAAGATGAGGAAAAGAGGGCTAGATTTTCAGCAGTAAGTTGGAGTACAATATTAATAGAATAAAAGCAGTGAGTGATGTAAAGTGAAAAGCCTTTCTCCTACATCAAAAGACAGTTTGGTCTTATGTACGTGTGATTATTTAAATACATACTGAAATACAATATACTTAAGATAAAATATATTTTTAACCTTGATTTCATGGCTAGTTTTAACTATTTATTCCATTCCAAGTTTGACTTAAAGTTGTCTAGCAATTTTTAATTAATCTTGAACTAAGTAACTTTGCATACTTAAGGTGAGATTGTCAAAGTTTCTTTGGGGAAGTGATGTCCACACCATCAAAGCTTCTTTTAAAGAGAATGTGAATTCTTATTTAGTGCTTAAAGCTGCCCATAACAAATCTGGAAACTTCTCTTCTGCTCCAGTTATGATCTGTGGGTCATGGTACGAGGCACTCCATTAGAGTACAACATAGGCTATCCTGAATGACATTAATTTCTCTATTATGCTTGGATAATCTATTATTTGCCATACTATAGTTTTTACTAAAATGTTGGCATTGGTTTTTAGAAGCTGCAAAGATAGCAATGAATAGAGATTTAAATATAGACAGCCAGGAGACATGGAGCTTTATTAAGTATGTTCCTTGAGTGAGGGGCTGGCAGCCTTTTTCAAATTTCAGTTGAAAATATTTACACAAGTTGAAAACCACAAACTTAAGAGACAGTTTAGAAACTCTTCCTGAATTCTGCACAACGTGGGTTGGATATCATTGCTTGAAATTATTTTCTCAATATGACTTCATGAATTTACAAAACCTTACCAAATATTTAGTACATAAGGAACTCAGTAGTGTTTAGAATCCTATCGGCATGTCTCACATATTATATTCCTAATATTAATCTCTAATATTAATAAGCTTCTGTGGCTTCTGCATTTGTGTCAGCTAAGAGCTAGCTAAAGAGGAGCTAGACAAACCCACTACATGGCAGCTGCTGGTAAGAAATCTCCAGGTGACTGATCGAACGGGTTTAGTCTTCCAGGAACAGATCACTGTGTACTTGCACTGTATTTTATATTCCTGCTCACAGCTTCTATTAAAGGCAGAATAATGGGTGAAAATGGGCTTTTGGCCAATGTGGATATTCTTAACCCTCTTACAGATGATGTCCTTTCTCTTAAGAGTTACCTTTGGAGCTTCCCTACATGATCTCTTTCATTAATTTCATCCTCAAAAGACTACAGAAATGGAAATAAAGTTTTCAGTGATGATTACAGTTCTCTTGTTGAGATGGCTGGGTACCTTGAGCTAGCCTTTCCTCCTCTATTTGTAGATACTGTGTTACCAAAGTAAGAATTCTGTTAGGCCAGTATCTCTTTAGGAACATCTGGGCTGCCTTCTGTATTGCTTGATCACCATGGGAACATGGACAACTTCAGACATGAAGACAGACAGAGGATATTGAAAAACATCTAGTAAACTTGACTCAGCAGTCCTGTCAAACTTGCTGGCAGTCTCCCCAGGCTTTAGTGATTCTCCACAGGTCTATCCACACCAAACCAAACTACTGTATTGTGACACTAGTCTCTACATAATAGCTATCCCACTGCTTGGCCCTGCTGAGTAGGGTTGGCCAGTAAGCAAGAATTTTAGTTTGCTGAGACTTTGGAATGAAATACAACTCTTCAAATACGTCAAGGAAAAAACAGCAGAGAGGGAACATGTCCTACTAGCATAGCCAAACCCATGGTACACCCACATCCTGAATCCTGCCTGTAGGTCGGTCTTGTTACACCTCAGAAGTGATATGGCAGAAGCAGGAAAGATACAGAGAGGCAACACAAGGCCTGTCAGAGGAATGAAAAGGCCCTCACAGATAGTGAAAGGATGCAGACTGGGATTAGGAAGTATTTTTTTCACAATACTGAAATTATGGAAATTACGGTTTCATGGAAGCCAAAAGATGGCTGAACTTGAAAATGGATGGGAAAAATGGAGGACAGATAAATTTCTGGCTATTAAGCAGAATGATATAAATACAACCTATGGCATGAAATATCTCTTAAACCACCAGCTCCAGGTGCTGAGACACCAGGGACAGAACACACTGATATTTCATCTGTTTCATAATGTTCTCCTTGGCCACTGTCAGTCACTGAGTGTTCTGCAAACTGGATCCAGTTTGGCCATTCTTGTGCTCTTGAGTCAACTCTTGCTTTGTGTAACGTGTAACTTGTGTAATTTGTGTAATTGTGTAACTACACAGAAAATATCTCTCTGCTTTAACAAAGATGGATTATATATTCATTAAAGCAAACAGAGGTGCTAACAAAAGAACATCCATTAAGTCTGTATGGAGATTACTGGGATCCCTTGGGTAAAGCTGTACCTCACACTGGTTAGTACAAGATACTCCGTCATATCCTAGAATTCCCACTGGATAAACAGAATTCTCAAAGAATTGTGCAATTTCTGATAAAAGTTTTAACAGAAGCAAGTTTTAAGTTGCCCTAGCTCTTATTAAAATAAAAATTTTACAAAGAATTAGAAGAAATAAATAATTTCTACATGTTTCACATGCACCTCACACAAATTGGTTGCAACGTGAATATCCATAAAAGCAGCAGAAGTCGTAGGCAGAGAAGAAATACACTTTACTACCTCTGCAAGGTACAAAGCTATGTACTAAAGGCATGTTACTCCTTCAGGAGCCTTAGGAGACAGTACAATTTTTTGCTTGTTTTTCAGCAGCACAGATGCCCATAGGACCAAACTAGAGCAATACTGTATGAGTTCCCATTGAAGCCTATCTCCAGCAAACACAAAATGCCATTTTCTGCTGACATCAATTTAATCCTGGTACTTTCCACTAAAAAAATTGTCTTAGTTTTGTAGCTGTGAAGCGTCTTGAATACGTTATGGCTATTTACAGGCAATACCCCTCTCAATGATTAAATTTACAAATTTTAAAATGTGTTTTCTTACCTCTCCACTAGCTTTACCAATGGGAGAGTTGAGAATGAAGTCAGGAGGAGCAAAGACATCAACCAGGGCAACTGCATCATCCTTCAACTGTTTAATAACAAAATACATATGTATGGCAAATTCTGTAGTTGACTATGGCTATCTACTACAAAGCAGCATAAAGATTATTTTCATAAAGTAACAGCTATTGGTAAATTAAGAGAAAGAAGGAGTCTAGATTTGTATTGGGTTTTTTTTCCTCCCAGGGTATTTGCAAAAAGAGACTGTATTTTAAATGTTTTTCTCCTTAGGTAACTGGTTTTAAAACACATTTTAACCAAAATGGTACTATTTATACACATAAACCCACCTATTTTTTAACTTTAAAAATGTAACGTCCAGATCCTTCTTTGAAATTTTGCTTACCTGTGAAGAATATAACCCAGTTTGAAAAAAACTTTGCTGAGAAAAAAAATTCATGAGCTAACACAAAAATGAAATAAGTACAATAGGACTGCAGTATTTCACTGGCTTTCCAATAAAGAATGCAGGACCACAAATTGATAGTGTTATTTTGTAAGATACGTCAGTTTTTGTTTTTTGGTAAATAAACTAGGACTAGATTCAGGGTCAATGAGTTACTAAACTTCAAAGGAAGTTACTCAGAAACTATTAACGTAATATCTTGCTAATTTATCCCTCAGAGTACAGAATAACTGACCTGTCTTTTTTAGTGTTTGTATACAACATAATTATTGAATCACAACAAACAATATTGAAGGCTTACCCTGTAGCAGAGCTCCAGAATGGCATTCTGAACAAATCTACCAGCTTGTTCACCTGAAGCATAGCCACCTGCAAAGACAGTCACAAAGAAGCTCATACCAGTTAAGATTGCACTGATACAATCCTTTGCCAAAGGAGTTTTTCAGTTCAGTATTCAAACAACTAAATAGATGCTCCTGTGTAACTGGCTTGACTGTCTTTCATTAATGGGTTGGGTGCAAAACCATTAATCTAAAACATTTGGAACCTTCTGCACTAAGAAGCTACACTTCAGCATCTTGCTGCCTTTTTCTCCTCCTCTCCCCCAAGCGCTGGACCACAGCAATACTTGTGAGTGCTCCATCATCTCTGAGCAAAGGGAGTCTTTTGGGTTAATCTGTTGCTCTAGATTCCTGCTCCTGAAAATTTTGTCCAGAATGACTGTCTTCTGTTACACAGGCCATAAGAAAATGTTCTAATCTAAGTCCTAATTAGGATTCCCTCCCCCTGCCAAGTTAGGACTGTTACACAGTGACATGCACAGTGTATTCAGCAAGCTGATCTCACCTTGGTAGAGCACAGCCAGATGTTTACTTAAAGACCAGAGTCCATACAGAGCACTGAGATTCTTAAGCACTGGCTGCAGAGTAGATGGTATGTTGGGATCATGGGTGTAGTCATGGAATCTTTGTAAGACTGTTTGTTCAATAAAAGCAATGGCTAATGATCGACAGTAGTACACCTTGGGAAAAGAAAGGAGGACAATGAGCAACAAAATGCAAAGAACCAATCCTCAGCTGGTCCAAAATGGCACTGCAATATGTGTTGCAAGAACTATCCAACTAATCCTTGCCAATTATCTGATCAGAAAGGCAAGTCACCAGTTACTGTTAACAGAGTATAAAAACTTATTGTACTCCCATAGGAACACTTGTCTACTTTTATATACTTCACCTTTACTGTATCATGGCGTGTGTCCCACCAGGACATGGGCTGCTAACAGAGAAAACTACTTGAAGAAGAGAAGGGGATAATGAAACCATTGCTGTGGTGACTGCTTTATTGCAATACTATAAACTGCTGTTTGGGTTTAGCCCATTTGTTCAGGTTTTTTTTTTTTGTTAAATTTCGAATTAGTTGATTAGTTTGTCTTTCAGTACTTGCATCATACTTGCACTTAAATGCACTGTGGCATTTAAAAAGGCATATTCCAAAGATGACTGTCTCTCTTGATTGCTGTTCAGTGGCATTCCTACATCCAAGCTCAGATACAAGCATGAACTACAAAATACAGATCTATTCTCTGCATATTTAAGGAGGACTTCCCCCTTACCAGATGCACCTTTTTAGACATAGATGTCAATTCCTTAGTCAGAATGAAATAAGGCTTAACACCACAAATGAAACATTAAGAATTGATTCCCTGTTCTTCTCCCTTGTGATTCTATTTCCTTCTTTACCTTTGCTTGCACTTCTTTATTGTTTCTATTAAGCTATCCCCACACCAAAACAACCTAGGGATAGGCTAGGAATCTCTTCCAGATCTCCCATAGCAAGAACAAATATTATATATTAACCAGCCACTGAGCTGACAGAAAACTGCTTCTTCATGCCCAGAAAGTTTTAAATCAAATATGTATATGTCTTTAAAGCACAGCCTGTAAATAGTTTTCTGATGTTTTTGAGGCATACCATTTAAATGAAAAATCCTGCTGTCCTGAAGATGAGTTGTAGCGAGAAAAGAAGAGCTAATGACCTAAGGTGTGTCAATGCCTATCTCAAAAGCAGTTGCATGCCTAAGTATCTGTACATTTTAGCACATCTGAACATAAAAAAGAACTTTCAGACTTCTGAGCAAACCGTTCTCTCTAACACACTGGCCTGGACACCGACAGGCAATCTGACTTGAATGTCTGTCAATTCCCATTCTGAACTTGACCTTGAAGAGCTTGTCTAATAAGCTGCTTTTAGGGTAAAACCAGGAAAGATTTCCTCCACACCACCAATGGTTTCACACAGACCATCCCCTGCTGAAACTAGGCTGGCTCTTTCTAGGTGCAGAGCTGAATGTACCTTCCTGATGTTTTCTAATGAGCTTTGCAGAGACACTGAACAACACTGGCCATCTTCAGGGAACAGACCTCTCTCCTCAGTGACAAATGGCAATTCTTTCCTTGGACAAGAGCCAGTTCTTCTCATGGAGGTAATGGAAGAATTTGGGGAGCTTGGGTATATACACTGAAATTCGGAGTTAAGCCATTCCTAGCTGTTAAAACCCTCTGGTGAGAGACTGGATCTGCTATATGTAGATTGTCAGTGTTTCCTTCTCAGTTTCCAATGCTGTCAGTCTGGTGTCTTTCATGAATACTTTGCACTATGGAAATTAGAGATGGAGAAGACCTATTAGGTCATCTAGCTTACCTACCTGCCAGAGCAAGATTCTTTCCTACGGTATGTATTTGGCCAGAAGAGCTGATGGCGATGTAATAATCAGATGCTGCAGTAGATTTAATAGTAGTAGATTCAGTCTTCAGAAGTTGTGCTATCAAAATTACAGATGTCACCCAGCACATGCCTGCAACTTTTCTGAAGGGAAATATATCCTGAAAGACTTGTGCTGATGGTGACTGTTCCTGCTCTCCTGTTCAACACGATGCACGTGGATATGTATCACATTTTTTTAGTTTTTTTTATTTGCTGCCTTATGCTTGAGGAAATCATAGTTTGCAACATAAGACAATAAAACTAAAAGGATCACAGAATCACAGAATGTCAGGGGTTGGAAGGGACCTCCAGAGATCATGGAGTCCAACCCCCTGCCAGAGCAGGACCATCTAATCTAAGGCAGGCCACGCAGGGATGCATCCAGACGGGTCTTACAAATCTCCAAGGTAGGAGACTCTACAACCTCACTGGAGAGCCTGTTCCAGTGCTCTGGAACCCTTACAGTAAAGAAGTTCTTCCTCATGTTGAGGGGGAACTTGCTGTGCTCCAGCTTGTATCCATTGCCCTTTGTCCTATCGCAGGGCACAAGTGAGAAGAGGTTGCCCCTTCCTTCCTGACACCCAGCCCTCATATATTTATACACATTAATTAGATCTCCCCTAAGTCTTCTCTTCTCCAGACTAAAAAGCCACAGGTCCCTCAGCCGCTCCTCATAAGGCTGGTGTTCTAGTCCCCCAACCATCCTCGTAGCCCTTCGCTTGACTCTCTCCAGTAGATCTCTGTCCCTCTTGAAATGGGGAGCCCAGAACTGGACACAACACTCCAGGTGAGGTCTCACCAGGGCAGAGTAGAGGGGGAGGAGGACCTTCCTTTTTCTGCTGGACACACTTTTCTTAATGCACCCCAGGATACCATTGGCCCTCCTGGCCACAAGGGCACACTGCTGTCCCATGGAGAACTTGTTGTCCACCAGGACTCCAAGGTCCCTCTCCACAGAACTGCTCTGTAGCAGATCATCAGAGATCAGCTAGGATCTGACAAACTTGGATAGAAATAAGTAAATAAAAAAGCTAAGTAAGTATTACCTGACAGTTGTTTTTTGCCTCAAAATCACTTCGCCCAGACTGCTTCTCCTTGCTCAGTTTTAGGTCACTTTCTTGGAGCAGGTAGCAAACCAGCCATTTATATGCTGCTAAAGGAACTGTGAAAGAGAGAAAATGAGAATTTTTTAACATTTACATTTGTAATGCAAGAAGTCACATACAGACTCTCCTGCAGTCTCAGGTTTTGTTACCCAAGGAGAAAAGTTAAAATATTACTTAATCAATCCATGAACATGACACTTTTTGCCCCTTAGTGTAGATACAATAAACACCACCTGGGTAAGACAGTCAGACTGTAGTTGTGCAGTGGAGACACTGTACCTGACCATACACTAGTCCAAACTGACTCCAAGCTAAAAGAGAAGCTATATCCACAGCTCAGTTTAGACTTCTGACACACTCAAATTTTTGTAGCTTGCTCTATTCTTCCTATTTAAGATTTAGGTCTGCAAGGTACTCAGTCCCTTCTGAGAATATAAAAACAGAAGATAGGCCACATTTTGTGGAAGCATATGACTTCTAACATTGCAAAGGTGGCTGAATGACTTGGTTTGTCATTGCTTGACATGTGAATGACTTGCTTTGTACATGAGTGCGTTATATTTTTAGAACTATTAAGGAAAAAACTACTTCAGCATAAAGTCCTTGTATGCATCCTGCTTGCTTGTCTTAGCTTAAGATTTGCTGTAGAATATTATTTAGGTAATTGTGAGTGTTCACATGCTACCTAAATTTAGGCACCTATATTAACAGTCCAGTTTCTATCAGAATTGAACAATAAACAGACTCAGATGTTTTTAAAACTACAGTCTGGTTCAGGAGGTAATACAAGAGAGGAGAGAATGTGCTTAGATATTAGTTTGTGCTGTGCTGGATTTCACAAGCTGGAGACACAACAAAGAAGAAAGCAAGAGGTTGTTTTGAACTGTTTTTTTTCTTATAAGCCTTTGTGTTCTGAAGTCACTCAAAATACATGGCTATTATGATACTATCTCACTTGGTAGCATCGCTATCCAAGGTTCAGCTTTTTTACAACTATTTGAGGACTGAAGTGGTTACTAAATTCTAGGAACCAGCTCATTTGCCCCTTATATATTAAGTAGGAGAGTTTCTTCCCCTAGTATGTTCTCAGTTTCACAGCTTCACTTTTGCTCAACGCCCTGTCACTATCTCATCATGTGCTCATTTCTTTGTTAATTCTTGCCTCCAAGGGCTGATCTCGGCTCACAGTGATACAAAAGTGGGAATGGCATCTAATGTCATACTTGATTTGATTATAGCAGAGTAAGCCAGAAAAACTGCAGGGAATTTTCTGTCATCATTACTCATTTTTGTCCATGCAACCAAAAGCAACTGTCAAAGCAGAGACACTTAAAGCCTTTTCAATGTATTTCTAAATAATTTGTATGGTTTTCTAAAATACAATAATTTAGTGGTAGAAGGTAGTGGCAATCGATGCCTCGTACAACAGTTTCACTTGAAAACAATACAGTGGCAAAAAAAACCCATGGATCACAAATGCTGTTTTAGAGGAACAAATGTGGAAGAAAAATATGTGATGCTATCCTCCATTCTAGACTTGAGGCTGGGAACAACAGGACATGCTTGGAAATGCAAACTCTGTTCTCAGAAAATTGAAATGCCTATAATACAAACCAAAATCAGCAAATAGTAGTATGACAAATATCTAACAGGTAGCAGATGTTTCCTCTGGAAAGGAATTTAAGATTCTAGAGGAAGTTTAGGAAGAGCAGAAGGCTACCTGAGGAGTCCATGCAATCTTCCACACTAATGGCTGTGAATTTCCAGCCGAGGATCCGATGGTAATCTTGCAAAAAGTTTATTGTTCCAAAAGGGGACTCAAAAGGAGCTTTATCTGAAATACCAAAGAAAAGAAAAGTGATTTATGGGAAATCAGACTCTTTGGAACTGAAAGCCATCCATACAGTTGATAGGCCAGATGCAATTAGGCCATAATGTTTGTTTTATTGTGCTAAATAGGCATAATGAAGCAGCCAAACGAGGACTGGTGGACAAGTGCTGAAAAATTTGACTTCACTGCCTACAAGCCCCATAAGATTCAACTCCAACTCAAAACGTTGAGCTAGCTTAGACAACACATAGGAGAAAGAATATTTCTTGCAGCAATTATCTGTGTATTGTGAATGTATCACATGATGGAGCCTGTAACACATTATTTATGCTCCACAAAATGATTAAATGCCTGTCAATTGCTTTCAGTATGAAATTAGCTCCTAATTCCATTAACTACACACTGTTGAGTCCAGCAGAGGATTCCACAATGAAAACTTACCTCTTATGTAATTCATCCAGCTCATCAGGTAGTTGCTGGTTTGCTGAACCAGGATGTTGTTGTCTCCCTCATATGTGCAGTTTGGATCGTTGTCATTTCGGATTTCACCCAGACGATTCACTTAATAAGAACAGGTACATAATTTAATATATTGCAATGTATTAATGCAAACTAAGAGGGACTAAATAATTATTCTGTGACAAAATGCAGCACAGTTGTCTGTTCCTGTATGTATATCTGTTGTTAGCAAGAACTGAGCTTGAAAAGTCACTGTTTAGCTTCTGAAAATGAATATATTGGGAAGATTTTAGAAAAGGAATTTTCATCTATAAAGTCTGCATCTTTATTTTTGGAACTGAGATGGAATCACATATACAGTCTTTTTTTTGTGGTATCAGGTATAAAATGAACTTTGAAAATGCAGATAATGAGGAAAACCCCCTTTCTAAACATACTGCTAAAATTCAGACATGACACAACAATAGTCGAAGAACACACCAACAGAACCATTCCTCTCCTGATCAGTGTATCCAGTTTGTAACTTACTGGCGAGGTAACCATGTCCTCCACAAGCCTCTCGGCACTCCTGGGCCGCCTGCTGAGCAGTCCAAGAAGACAGTGGTTTGCTGGCAGCAGACAAGGCATGAATCTCACGACCCAAGTCAGCCTTTGTGAAAAACAAGTTACAGATAAGTAATGTTTTTTATATAAAGTGAGCTTGTGAAGAGTTAAACCTATAGCTATGTGTACTGCTTTATATCAAAGATTAACTGGCAACACCTACGTTAAATTTTCTGAGAACTGTACAATGGCAGAGCATATCTTTTGCTGGCATGAGAAAAAGCTGTAACACAACTGCTTGAAAGTAGGGAAGCTCTACAGAGGGATTTGGACAGGCTTGATCGATGGGCCAATGGGAGGTTCAACACGGCCAAGTGCCATGCCCTGCACTTGGGTCACAACAACCCCATGCAAGGTTACAGGCTTAGGGAAGGGTAGCTGCAATGCTGTCTGGTGGAAAGAAACCTGGGGATGTTGTTCACAGATGGCTGAATGGAGCCAGCAGCATGTCCAGGTGGCCAAGAAGGCCAAGAGCATCCTGACTTGTATCAGAAATAGCGTGGCCAGCAGTTCTAGGGAAGCAATTGTCTCCCTGTACTCAGCACTGGGGAGGACACAACTCAAGCGCTGTGCTCAGTTTTGGGCCCCTCACCACAGGAAGGACATTGAGGTGCCCAAAGGACATTGAGGTGCTGGAGTGTGTCCAAAGAGCACCGAAGTTGGTGACGGGGTCCAAAGCACAAGCCTTTTGAGGAGTAGCTGAGGGAACTGGGGTTGTTTAGCTTACAGAAAAGGAGGCTCAGGGGAGACCCTATCACTCTATACAACTACCTGAAAGGAGGTTGTAGCAAGGTGGGAGTTGGTCTCTTCTCCCAGGTAAGAAGCCACAGGACTAAAGGAAACAGCCTCAAGTTTTGCCATGGGGGGTTAATGTTGGATATTAGGAAAAATCTCTTCATTGAAAGGGTTGTCAAGCACTGGGACAGGCTGTCCAGGAAAGTGGTGGAATTGCTATCCCCGCAGGTATTTTGAGGATGTGTTAAGTGTGGTGCCTAGGGACATGGTTTAGTGGTGATCTGGCAGTGCTGGATTAATGGTTGGACTTGAGGATCTTGATGTTCTTTTCCAATCAGAACAATTCCATTATTCCATATATTTTTTAAAACTTTAAAAGCCTTCTTCACTAACTGTCTTATATGAGACAGCAATAATTTGTGCCAGGAAATAGACACACAGGTGCACCTTAGCTGAGATGTGCCAGAGGACATGGCCTTGTATGGGACAATTCACTGCTTGCCAACCTTCTCCTCCCAAAGATGGAGAGGCTGGGGGCTGAAGGTAGCATGTCCAGAGAAAGCTTCTACCCCATCTGTGATATAAGCAATCCCTCTCTCCCTAGTCAGCTAGGGGACATTTATAGTTACTGCCTTACAGGATTTTCACTGATACTTAAAGCATCAATTTGGCAAAGAGTAGGAAAATGTAAACATATCTCCTCAATTTCCAGAGAATCACAGCAGCCTGCATTTACACTTTGTTAGCCCTCCTTGAAAATGTGTTTGGAATTCCAGTTTCTAGAGATACTAAGATTGATACTACCAGAGCTTGTTTTAAGAGTAACTCCTTGGTTGATGTTTTTGTTTGTTTGTTTTGTAAGATCTCGTGCAGAACAAAAGGACTCAATGAAGATTACATTTTTAACATTGTCAACAATCAGATTTTTTTCTCTCATGATTTTTTTTCCTGATAGTCACTGTTTTGCCCATGATTACTGACTGCACTGGAGACACCCAGAGACAAAATATCAGATTTATAAAAAATAGACATATTCTTCTGCCGTCTGTGTAAAGAGGAGAAATTAGAATGCTCACCCATTAGTACACAAATCTTTCATAAACTTTATTTTAGCTGAAAAAGGCCTTAGTGTTTATGTGAGATCTGACCAATACATGGGCTCTAACAATGAATATTGTCAAAATATTTAAAAATAAGTAAAATGTATATGCTATAAAAAAACATACTGCATATTTTGGTTGAGAATCAGTCCCTGCAGAGAGACAGAGATCAAACTATTTCCTCTGTAAAGGAGTGACTTCCAAGGGATTGATTGTGGAAATTCAGCATTAAGACTTTTTTCTCTGAAAATATTTATCCTAATTCATGAATAATGAATGGTAAACTCAATCTGGACTTACTGAGTCTTTGCAGCAATTAATAGTATCTTTTCAGAAAGTCTTTGATATATATTCCCTGCAGTATCACTCACAACAGTTATAAGCTGAATTTACATTATCATAATATATTTATGATGAACAATTTTGCAAGGGAACATAACCTTAAATCCCTCAGAAATCAATGAAACTTTAACCAATCCATCAAAAGTAATTTCGATGGTCTTCTAAATGCAACTTCAATCATTACTTTGTATGTCCTATATTTCTGAGACAGCCTTCATTATAAGATGGTCTAAAACTTCTAAGTAGGTCCTTCATTTAACAGTTTCCAGTTATTACAATAAGAACTCAGTGAAGAAGAGACGTGTAAATATCTTACCTGTCTCTTACTCCTTTGCTTTGTCAATATGCCCACATAAAATTCTACAAAGTTCTCAAACAGGGATTTGGAGAAATGATCTAAGGCATATGCAGCAGCCAGATAAGGAAGAAGACGCCATTGCTAGAATAAAAATTAAGCAGATTTGATCACAAACATATATAATTTTTATAGTTATATATATGTAACCACCTTAGAATATTATATCAACCTATTTGTTTCTATGTTGTTCAAATTGCAAAACTGTTTTAAGGATAAATTAATAACAACCACCCATAAACATAACTAGGTGTAACTACTTTATACACAAGTTATAGTTACGTTATTCTAGTTTATGCATTTTAGGAATTTGTGATAAACACTCTGGTAAACCAGTGCAAAACTTCTCTGAAGCTTTGGGGATCAATGATGTATTTTTGCCCTGTGTTTATACAATGTCTGGCAAACCAGGGCCAGTCATGATTTAAGTGATTCTTCAGTAGCAACATGACAGAGGGTGTCACTGTTTGACTTCCTTGAACACTGCTGAATGCCCCTTAGTGCTGGTTGCATTCTGTTAAAAAAAGCCCTGGGCAGTGAAGCTGAGAAAAAAGTATCTCTGCTGTTGCATGCAACTCAGAGCCCACGGATGAAAACAGAAAGTGCTTTAGGTAGCTTTTGTAGTAGAGCAAGAAGGAAACAAGAGGTTCAGCAAGCAGAGCCCAAAGAATAAGCCCAAACAGAGAAACATTCAGAGACTAAAAGAACAGAAGCAGCCCCTGGCTTATTCAGAAGAGGTGGAAAGAAGGCAGCTCTCGCCAGTTTGCAGAAACCCATGAAATCTGTCTTGCATGACTAAGTGCACACCTGGAAAAAAAACCAAAACATTTTGCAAGGGCCAACTGGGCAGGTTTGTTTTCAGCACTTTTTATATATTAATCTTTCTCATTCAGCAGATATGAGTTTTTATTCTGTTTCCCAGTTACCCTACATACTCCTATTTTTTTCACAGCAAAAAGTGGTTTTTATCAGCATAATCTGAAGAAAACATTGGTTATACTCCTCTCAAAATTAGTGCTAGCTTGATACTTGTCACAATGAATATCATTGATTTCTATACTTTTAAAGCATAAAGGCTAAAAAAGAGAAAATTAGCATAGCAGCAAAAGAGGCACTGACATTTTTAAACAAATACTAGTTTCTCCATCTGCAATACTTTCTTGTGTGCATAGAAGACAGTCTTTCTCTGAAAAGGCTACTATGTTAGAAGACAAATGTTTCTAGGTACTTCAAAGAAACTTGAGTATTTTGGGTTTTGCTATGCCAAGAACTTATGTCAAAGGCCCGATCATGCCAGAAAAAAGCCTTGCATTGGAATGAACCACCCCCAGCTGCACTAGAAGGACACTTCGGATGACATAGAGACAACTTTAATTTCACTAACACCAGTGTCACAGTTTTGATCTGTGGTAGCTCAGAATCTGAGTTTTGTTATATAAAGGTCTATAAATGTGAATTCCAAAGTATTTACCTGTGTTTGGTATTCAAGAACAGGTATTTCTTCATCATCAGTTGGGCCAAACTGACGTCGAGCTGCTGAGAAGCGAATGGCGATTGATATGGCAAGCTTTAAATTGGTCGTGGAAATTGCTGTGATGACAATCCTGCCCGTGGACAAGGATCCCAGAGCTGCACTAAAACGCTCTTTATCATCCTGAATGAGCAAAAGGCACAGACTGAACAGTGAGGCTAATATTTCATCTACGGTCCCTGTAAAGAAACAACCCTGGTATCATGATCAGAAGCCCAGAGGAGTGGCCAATCCCTTATTTCTTGACACATTCAGATAAGGCGTTCTGGCAAGATCTGAAGTAATTTCTCTAAATGTGGAGGTAGCACAAAGATCAAAATGCCAGTAAAATCAGTAGGGTGGTTTGAGACTTCTCTGAAAAGCAATTAAAACCCCAGCATTTGGACTATCCTATGTGAAATCATCAACAGCCTTATTTAAGTCCAGTTATCTAGTACTTCCCAACACAATAGGCCCATGCTCTTATCTCTTAGCCTGCCTATACCTTTGTATATTTAATGAAACAAAACCTTCATTCATACCTTCACTGAACTTGAGTACTTCCCCTCAGCTGTGATATCTCCAGTTATATTCAGTATGTGTTCTTTAGGTATTCTGACGTTATGGAACATGGCAAATCTGTTCAAACAAAAACATAAGCAGTGTACACTCTACTTTGACATAGTCTGAGGTGTCTACATTACAGAAAAAAGGTCAAACAAAGACATGCACAATGATCTCAGGCATATCAGTGAACTGAAAGCAGTGACCATCAAGCCAGGCAGGTAATTTTAGGAGAGTATGCCTGGGAAAACAAATGCTTTCAGACTCAGAGCAGCAGAGGAAATTCAAGACATGAAATTACTTGTTACAACTGTTCAGTTTGTTTTGCCTTGTTTTGCTTTTTAAATACGATGCTTACAAAAATAAAACAAACACCTTGTTGACTCTAGGGAAACTATTTCAGCAGCTTTGTAAGTAACTATGTAAACAACTAATGGAAGGATGAACAATGTATTCTGTTTGAGGGGAGGGAGAGGTAAACTCACCTATTAGAGACCTTCTTCAGAGGCACTTTGACAGACACTTTCACCAACAGCCCAGAAACCTCAACTGAATTCTCAATCTGCATGAGTTTAGGTAAGTAACTTAGTTTGATATCTCAGCTATCAAAATCTCAGGAAGATGAACAACTTCTTTCTGCTTAGAACTTGACTGGGCCATTCTGAGTCCTAATAATTTCCTGCCACAAACAATTCTGCTGAACCACATGCTTTACTGGTGTTGCTCAGTTCAGTCTGGAGCCTGCTTTGGAATAGAGACACTATAAAGTTTTTAAGTCTAAAATATATATCTGTGAGCAGATCAAGTTACTGCACTACAAATGAGGACATAGCTGAAATAGTGCCCTGAGAAGGAATCAAATGGAGAATTTTCCTTTGTTTAAACTTAAACAAGGATTTGTCTTCCCTGGAATGTGGCATCTTAAAAAGGAAGAGCAAGATAACCTTTTCTAAATTCTAAATCCAGCATCAATAAGAAGAAAGAAGATGCAGAATGTCCTGAGTATTCATATTCTTCAGGAAGAAAGCATACGAACTGTTTCACCCACATGGGCAATGCAACTTGGCACAACAGCAGTAATATCAGCTCCACTCATGAATATCTCAGTATCTAATAGCACTCAAAAAGCTATATTTGTAATCAAAGCAAATTCCTTTCCCCTGCCAATACAGGCTGATCTATTTAATAAGGCTCACGAGAGCCAGGTCTTTCACATTAATAAATTACATAAGGGCTGCGTTGCTGCATATGCTTTAAAATTACAAGTTGTTTCCAAGGAAACATATCTGCATACTGAATTTATTCAGCCTTAGAGATACACAGTACTTTCAGACTTAGCCACAGAGAAAAGCATTCTATCCTAACCAAGAACCAGCTGCTTACTGGCCTTAACGATCCTAAAAAATGCTTCATTAAGTGCCAGTTTTAGTTACCACTACTTTGTAACAGCAGCAAATTCAGAATTCCAAAAATCTGATGTCCCTCTTTGTTCATATTTGTTTCATATCACTGAACATAAAAAAAACTCATACAAAAAAGGTCTCATGGTTAAACTGACATTCTCTGCCATATCCCAAACAAAATCCACCACAACTAAAACTGTATAGCACCTCCAATATCTTTAAGCAATAGCATGCAAGACAGAAACCTGAGCTTTTTGATTATTATTACCCATTAATTAGAGGAGAGTGTGTGTGATGAAGTTTAAGTCCTTAGTTCAGCACACTATTTTCCTAGTTCCTCTATATCCATACAATGGATGATACAATCTTTGGGGAACAGATTAGGAAGAAATTTCAAAGGCTTCCAGTTCTTGGGCTCTCTCCTTGCAAAAGTATACTTGGAGTGTGTTTACTCCTGTGTGTGATGAACAGTAAGATTCACATGAGTAGGACAAGGTGGCAAGTTGTCCTTTGGTGTTTTATGCTGTAGTGATTAGTTCAATTCATTCAGCAAAGCTGTGCCGTTGTAGCAAATTCTTTATATTGATACGTGCTTGAAACTCTGGAGTTCTTAAAAAACACATTCAAATCTACTTATATATAAATCTATACACTAATAACCTATTTTTTGAAAATGTAAGTCTACTAATATTGAACATGTGGCAGATGTGTGCCCAGCAGAACAGCTCCCAAGCTGACCTAAACAGTTTTACCTACTTTCACCTACTGTGACACAAACATTTAAATTAGAGGAAGTCTTTTGTTGGAAAGAGGGAAAAGTCTTCTAGAAAGTTTTATTACAACCTATTGTATTACAACATTTATTACAATGTTTACAATTAGAATAGAATAGAATAATAATATAATATATAATGTAATATAATAGATTACAATGTAATCTATTTATTACAACATAAATATAATGTAGGTAATTCAGTACCACAGAAAAGATTACCTAGAATGAATTTGATTAAAACCTGCATGTATACCCTTTTTGTAATAACTCTTTTCACAACTAGTGAACCATAATAATAGATTTCCAATCATTATATAACAATCTATTTTCTTAAAATCAAAATTGGTTCAAATCACAGTTTTTGAAAGTTTAGCTTTTTCCCTTGATATTGCCCATTACAGATACATGATCTCCTTCTCCTTCTGTAAACTGCTACCAAAATAAATGCATATAAAATGGCAAAATCTTTAAGAAGCAAGAGAGAGAGAACAAGCAAGTAAAAATCACACAGAAAATTCCCATGTGTAACGAAATAAGATACATGCCTATAAGCACCAGTGTTGAAAATAAATGCAGGTCCTGGGAGTTAGGCAACCTTATGAGATCACTGCCAACTGCTGTCACGCTCCTTCTCCAAGAACTTTGCTATTTGAAATTGTTAGATGTACTGGCCAATTTGAGCTTGGTATCGGAACGTATTAAAAATAAATAGTAAGATTACTGAAGTCAATGACTGCATTTCTAATGGTTCTTAGCCTATGAGGCATAGTGGATACATCTGTCAATGCATTTAGGGGAAAAATCTCCTTAAAGAATTGACGAAATATCTTACAATAATGGAACCATATACACAGTCATGGGGATATCACATAGCAGCAAGCTTGGAAAATGGTTAAATTTCACACAGTGATGACAAGACCACAGGTTTGAAAGCTATCCTACTTAGGGCCTCTTCTGCAGAGCAAATAGTGTGACTGAGATTAAGAACTCTCAGCAAGAAAGACAGATAGTTGTCATTTTAAATATACATCACAGGGCTCTATAGCAAAGTGCAATTTTGCATCATGTAGCCCACAGGTAAAAACAACAGTATCACAAAGATTTCTGCCTAGATGACCTGACCAGATTGGAGCACTATTCCAACAGTAGCATTCTTGTTTGGGTTCTTTGGCCAGTAGTTCAGGGAATATTTCAAGAGAAGTTAATCTTACTTTAAATCACGCAGTTGTAATCCATCTGGTGTGCAGTAATGCTGATAAAAAAGGAGCAGCTGGAAAAGCTACAATCTCCTTTTACCAGTCCTAAATTAATAAGCTGTTACCTACAGTACAAATAGCTCAAACATGCTTGGGTAAATTTCAGACTCACTAAAACTCCTTTCCTGCCAGCTTTTGTTATTGACTACTTCAGAGATGGTGCAGTGACAGTTCCTTCAGTTCTTCCAGGCAGAAACAGAAAGCAGGTGAATGGTACTGGAAGGCTGTGAGTCCAGTGATCTCATGGCTGTTTATGTGATACAGTAAACCTTGGGAAGAATAACACTTCAGAGATTTAGTGAAAAACTTGCAGAAGGAAAGAAAACAGCCACATATTCCAGACTGAAACTCACTGAGAGGTTAGACTTGAGAAGAATTACAGAGAAGCTGAGGAAAGCTGCACAGCAATATTTTAGCTCCAGTTTCTACAATCAAGGCTCCAATCTAAGAATGCAGCTCTGTAACAGTGATGCTCAATAGCAATTATAAAACAACACAGCATTTTATTGGCCTCCTAATCCTATCTTAATGGACTTCCTGGACACACTAAGGCTCACCCTCCCTAAAATTCTTATAGTCTTAAGTGTCAAGCAGTTCTGGACGTGCAGACTCCTGCAAGTGTTGAGAGCTGACAGAGCTCTGCTAAGGAAGGAAAAAGGCTGCTTGAAGTTCACTGCAGAAGTGAGGCTGTATTCTGTGGGTGATGAAACAAAAGCGCGGCCAGATCCGAATCTACTTTTCCCCACTGACACCATCAAGTGCCTGTCAGTGTGACCTGGCTGTGGCTACACAGCTTTGATGCACATGTGAGTGACAAAAATGAGGGGATAAGGTGGCACTCTTCAGCACTGTGACCGCACCTTAGCAATGAGCACAGCACTGTAGGTACCCATACAGTGTCTAACTTTGACTACAGAAACTGAGTGGAGAGGGCAGAACTGGGAAACACCAATGATTTCACTGCAAAAATCACTGGTTTGACTTAAATTGGAAATAAACAAGACGAGTGTTGCAAAATATTTGGCTTAACTTTGGAATTGGCACCATTCACAAGGACTGAAGTATTGATGGTACTGTATTCAGGTAGTGCAAGTAGAAGACAGGCATTTTTAACATTTATTTTTATTTTATAGCTGCTTCATTACTATTGCAATTGTTTCTGACTTGAGTCAGAGGCTGCAAGACAACAAAAATATTAAAACAAGCATAAGCTTGTTTATTTGAGAAGCAGGACAGATTTCTACACTTGCTTTCTTATTCACATCCATTTACTGCCCTTATCCCTCTACTGGAATAGCCTCTTCTGCGGCCTTGCAGTGAACCAGACTTGACAAATGATCTGGTTGAAGTTAGCCAAATTTGGGGGCTTGCTTTTTTTTTGTCAGACTAGTTTTCAGACAGCTCCAGCTCCCTAGATGAGTCCCCTACACAGCTACAGAAATGTTTGTCCCAGTACAAAGAAAAAGGCTGTATGGGAGTAAAAGCCAACAACCAAAGAAGCTGAGAATGGAAATTACCATCACTGAACTACTTCAGACTGTAAGATGAAGCTCCAAAGACTACTTAGGCTTCAACCATGCATTACAGCTATCTTCCTAGTGAAATAACTGCAACCATTGCAAAATCTAAGTACAAGTTAGGAGGATAAATATTAGGAAACAAAAACTCTTTGAAGGACTAGACTTTCATTTGTTCTACCCCTAAACTAGCAGTAGTACATCTTAATGTACCATTTGGCACTGGTACTGGAATACTAACAAAGAAAAAAAAATTACTTAGAAGTCATGTGTAAAGGCTGTGAGATTGTGTGATGTATGCCATCTTCACCAATATGCAAGGAATTGTAGCAAGAGCTTTCAGAACCTGCAATCTCTTTCCAAGAGGGATTCTTTTACACCATTTGTTGCTCTTCTGCCCAGTAAACCCTTTTTACCCATTTCCTCTTGGGTGGTTTGTTTCATTTTCAGTATCCAGAAAACTGAATCTGGCCTCAATGACTGCTAGAGAACATGCTGTGAGTATCTTAGCATGATATCTCAGCATAACTCAGCTGAATGAGCTCAGAGCAAGTTTTACAAAGGCAGGCATGTTCAGCACCACTTCAGAAACACAATAATAACTGATTCTCAGACTTTTCCTCACGCAGGTTCAGTTGGGCATCATTTCTATTTCTGGAGTGAGAACAGCAGCAACTTGCTGCTAGTTCCAGCTGGACGTGAAATTGGTTTACCACCGATCCAGTGGCAATCATTTACTGACGTGTGCTGCAGTAATGGGCAATTTTGGTAATGTTACATTAGCTAGGGCAGAAAAAATAAAACCAAAGGGAAGAAACAGGAATGCACATCAGCACTTACCCAGGCTCTTGCTTTATGCCCCTCCTTTTATGGCTGCAGCTCATTTTACTGAAAAGCCCGTGGAACCCCAATACCCATGTTTTTCAGTGGTCGGTTTTGTCCTCAGCTATTTCCATTTTGAGACCTCTGTGAACAGCACGTCTCCAAGACTGCCAGAGCACTAGCAACAGGTGGACATTTTTATATTATAAAAATAAAGACTGAAGCACTTGCATCCTCTGGTGGCAGTCTGATTTATACTTTGTTAACAAAAACCAAAACCAGCCTAAACTCTCCATAGGAAAATATTTTCCTTCTATTTTTAACCTTTTATGCATTGATTACACAAACTGTTGTAAATTACAGAGAGAAAGAAAAATATTTTAAAATGTTTTAAAATTATTTTGTCTTTTTTTTTTTTTTTTTTTCAGGGTAGCTGAAGCTACAAAGACTTGCAAACCCCATGTGATTTTGTACATTACAATTATGAAGCCATGAGAATTATTTGTCAAGATAGAAGGAGCAGGCCAGTTAGCTGGATGTACACTGCAAAAATTCCCACATTACTTCTGAAATTCCTTTCATACTGAAAACATTACACTCTGCATTAGCAGGAAACCAGCCTTCAGCCAAACGACCTGAGAGATTGGTTGTTTTTCAAATCCAGAAGGGACAACTACAATCACCTACTCTGTTCTCTCACATAACATAAATCAATGGCATTTTGCAAGGAATCTCTGGAATTTCTTCCCCATGTCCTACCTAAGTGTGCAGGAGCTGAACTCTCTGTACCCATACTGAAAAGCAGTAGCATAAACTTCATGAAGGAACAAAATCTGACATGTCTGCCAGAGATGTCAGACTCTGATCTTCACTCTGACCATTTATCCTGAGTGTAACTACATGGAAATATCCCTGATTTAATAAGCATCCGTGGTAGACTTCACACGTGTTCAGAAAACTGGCCTAGCATGCCACACAGACCAGCACCTGTAGTCAGAGCATAATGCAAGTTTTCTCCTCACTGCATACAACAGCTTTCTATACTGCAGGCTGTGCTTTCTCTGGGATAAGCTAGGACTTTACTAAACTGCTCAGGAGAACACCTTGACAAGGCAGTGTCTGGTGTACTGTCTCCTTGTGAACCCTGGCATTTCGCAGATCACTCAACCAACAGTCCATTGTCCAGAGTGGTCCAGCTTGTCCATAGAGCTATGAAGCTACTACCTCTCCAGCTCTCATCCAGGCCTCCGTGTACTACTGAGAAACAATGTGTACAAGCCCTGACATTTTTGAGAACTCAGTGTGAGCAGGAAGGTTGCAAAGCAAAAACCAATTTTCTAGTTCTTGTGAAGAATGTTGGCATCTAGCTTCAGACTTCTCCAAAGAAACCAGCTGAGGTACATCAGGAACACAGAATTATAGAGTTTTCAGTTGGAGGAAGGGTATCTGTTGGTGACCTTGTGTTCCCTCATCTGTTTTAATCTGCAGGTGTTGTCTTAAGCTTTCTTAGTGTAGGGACTTCCTTAAAACCATAAAGAGATCTAGATCCATGACTGGAGCTCCTCACACACTGCTTTTAGCAGAAAATAATTTTTTAAGCAGCATATGCAAAGTAAACAGATTAGAATGCCCTATGATTGCTTTAAATGATAGGTGACATCCTAACTAAGATAAAGGACTCCATCTGACATTAAGACAGGTAGTCACTGATATCTCTTTTTTACAGGGTATTATGTGGACTACATTATTCAGTTATTAACAATATTTTAGGAAATGTTCTATTTTTTCCCAGTAGATCAAAGGATAAATGGATTTTTAAATTATGTGCATCTTGATGTTAAGTGACAAACACACTCTTCTCCTCCTCATGTTGTGCATAGAACTATGCTGGAAATTAAGAGTGAACAGCAGAATTTGAACGTTTCTATAGAAATATGAAGCTGAATTAGATTTATTCAGGCCCATGTTGCTGTGCCATCTGGTGGCTACTACTTTGTAATGCAGATGCAGGCAAAAATACCAAACCCCAGTCTCCCTCTTCAGGACTTTTCTCACATTTTTCCTCTATAAAACTTAATTTTCTATACGGTTTTTCAAATTTTTTACACTTGAAAACAGGATACCTCAGGATGTCTATACTTTGTTTACTGCAATGGCATTTATGAAGGACAATATCTGCAATGAACTGAGTCAACAGAAAATGGTAAAACTGAGGTGTACATAAGAGACACCTTTCCCCTTGCTATTTTAGGTCTCTGTCTTTACATAGAGCTATGTAATTGATAAAGGGGTTTAAATAACTTTTAGATAATACCTGTTTTAATGCAGAAGCCTACCTCAATTTCCTCACTGTCTCTCCTCTCCATGACACCTCTTTGGTTAGTAAAGTAGAGATGCAGTAAGGCCACTGAGGTCCATGACTCAGAAGTGGAGCCAAGGCACATTTTTATTTCAACTGCACACACAGAATACAGAAAGAAGTAACTAATCTCCTCCTTCTCTTCTGCAGTGTCATGGTTTAAACAAGATACCTAGTTTCTCTATGGGTCTCATTAATCTTACAACTTTACCAACAATAAACCTTGTCTGTGGACCTTCATCAGCCTTCCTGGGGGGTGGATGAAATACTTAAGGGCTTACACCCATATGGGTGGAGAAGCTGATTAAGTTCTTTACTCAGAACATCATGGGTTTCTCATAATTATTGCTGCAGGATCTATGACTACAAGAGTCATAGAGTACCAGTGGCACTTCATATTCTAAAAAGAGACAAATGCAGAAAGAGTATGGTTATTCAGATAGAAAATAGTGAAATTCAAGATCTTTCAGTCTGGGTTTTTCTTATAAACACCAACAACTTAAAAGCACTAGTGAACACCTCAGAAGTAAAGACAGAACGGACACAGGAGGATATGTCCACCACTGCAGTAGGATACAATCTAGAATGTTTCCTCCTGCAAATGGATTGACTTACCCATTATCCAACCCATTCTGTCCAAGTTTCTTTCCTATGTCTCCTACCATCACACCTGGCATTGGTAGGAGAGTTTTTGTATCTCGGATCTGCACAAAAGTGGAACAAAACATTATTTCAGTTATGGAACAAGGAAAGTTATTGGCTGAACTTTTCAAACAGAGAGAATATTCCCAACTTGTATTCTGTTATTAACACTGTTGGGTTTTTTTGGGTTTTTTTTGGATACATAATCCTGGATATGACCTGCACTTACACGTCCTCTCATTCAGGACATAGATCTCCTAACAAAAATGACTTTGGCAATATGCTAATTACCTCACTGTGTGAAATATGCCTTAACACTGCTGACTGCTCTCATCAGATTAGCACTGAAATCTTCTTCAGGTGTACACAGACATAGTAGGAATCAATGGAACTTTTATGTAACAATCAGCTTTGAAATATTCCCCAATTTTGTAATTAATTCTGTTCAGTCTGCAAGTAGTTCACTTTATTACGCCATATTTACACTCCCTATTTTCTGATGAAATCTTTCAAACTGATCTCTGTGGTAGAAGCTTGCAGATTTCATGCCAGTTAGCCTGGAGCACTGGTAGACATAAATAACCTTAAGCTTCATCCAAGAATTTCAGGACTTCTTACAGTGTAGGTTAGTTCTAACTTTATAGGCAGCATGATAATCTGGAGGTTTTTCTGCTCTTTTGTATTTTTTTCAGATTTTTTCACAGAAAACTGACAGTGTAAAACTGGCTGTACAACCATCACAAAATCAGTTAACACTTAAAAACAGTACACTTATTACAACTGCAATAAATGTTGAAGGCATTAAAGAATCTGCTGGTTAGATATAAATAACAGCATAACAGAAAATCTTTAATTTGAACCCAATCCCCCCAAGAAGAAAAACAGATTAGCAATATTCTACCCTACCTGTACAATAAAGGAATGTAAGCCTTGGCACTGTCCATCAGGAGTATAGAGCTGGGCATACACAATGGCATGAGTGGCATGTTTCCCCATATTACCAACCCAGAACTTTGCAGCTTCAAAGTCAGGAGTATTGATGATAAATTCCTGTAGCCAAGAAAGAAAGGAGAAAATTATATAAATCATAAAAATCAACACATGGCTATTTTCTGGGGATTTTATTTTAACCATGGTAATGTTTTGTAAACATCCATTAACTGCTGGGTTTTCATTCTGTACTCCAACAACTGAGACCTCTTTTACTGAGGTCAACTTTGGAGAGAATACATGTAGCTAGGAAAAATTTATAGCTGTAAAAGTTCATTATTTCATTGTAAAGCCTGAAATTCAGCCTTTTAATTGCTCATTTGAGCAATTAAAGTAAACAAAAGTGATGGGACTAGGAAGCATTTCCTAGATCTTGGGTTAAGCTGACTTGTGAGTCCAACTGTGAATGCCATTTCAGCTGTGAGAGCTGAAACCCATGCAGGGACCATCTGCTTCTCACAGTTTTGTGGGGAAAGGAAGCCTGGTTGACAGTGTGAAAGGCAGCACACTTCCCACTTTGGACAGCCAGGGCACTGTGAGCAATGGGAATTCTGAAGAATACATGTATCCTGAAATTCAGACATAGGTTCAGCATTCAACTTTCACATTCCAAACAATGTGCCTTCTGGATGTAAAAGGAATCTGAACTCAGAGCTTCATGATATTAACAAAGATTTAGACATATCAGTCACTTCTGCAGTATACTCATCGCCAGCATAAAACTCAGTTTATCTACATGGAACTTTTCATGCTGCCAAACTCACAAGGTGGTGGGTTTTTTTCTTTCTGGAAAGGGATCTGATCGATCTTGTTGCTCAAATGATCACCAAGTTGCTTGCATACGAAAAAATGCAGACTGGAAAGTTGTCCTACTGAAGAATACAAAATCTTATACTTCAAATCTATGACTTATTCTTTTGAAGCCACTCCATGGCAAAAGAGACGTGAGTGATACTGTCTGTCAGTAACAGCACCTGGTTCTGTACATTACAGTGTAATAAAATGCCACAGTTTTTGGGTGAGGAGATAAGCCTACCTTCTTGGGACATTAAATAACATGTTTTAAATTCAACTTGGCATAATCCAAGCATGTAGATAACAGAAAGTTCTATCAGCCTCCTCTCTGAACTTCTATTTTCTTCTCCCTATGTCCAACTACAGTGAGTTCTATTAATTACTGAAAAAAAATGTTAAGACAATTAATTTATTTCTGCAGTAGTATTGATTTCAGAAAACAAATTATGAGTAGTAAGCAGTATCCTGACAGAAAGAGCAGTTTACTGGTTTGCTCTTTCAGTGTCTGCAATAGTCTTGTTATCTCTTTTTTGTATTTCCTTTTCCAATCCTCAGGAAATAATCCTAAATGTCATATATAAAGATTTCATAAAGACAAAAGACAATTTAATCTGTACCTCCAACTATTCCTTAAGAGACGCAATAAGGAGAAGAATTCTATCCTTACTTTATATCACAATCAGAAGATAAATTAACTACTTGTGCAAGAAAACAGAAATTTCTGAATTTATTGTAAATGTTGATATATGATAAACAACCATTTCATTTTCTTTTATTTTGTTCTGCTGAAACAGAATCACTTTCTCCTTTTTTGAAAGTATTCTGGGTATTAAATGCACTGATTTACAGGAGTCAAAAACACTAAATGCAGACTTTGTTTTGAAAACACTGGGAAGTTGTGTGGGAATGTGCTTATCTGCTGAAATGCCCACATCTACCCTTAACTGTGTTCTTTGCAGGAATCAGTTTCTTTCTCTTAGAAACAATGAATGGGAGAGGGAGGTGTCTCTGAACTGAGGCACCCACAGCACATCAAGGGTGTCTTGTTTGGTTTTCCTGAAGCAGGGCTCTCCAAAAACATTCTTCATGACAATGTCATCATTTGCCACTTTTTTTTTTTTTCACATTGGAAATTGAACTTGATTCTTTCTTGTTAGGTAAAGAAATCCTGGAACCATTCTGTCCTGTAAGCAAATACCAGAGCCTAACAGTGTCAAATGTTATTCCTGTGCCTTAAGGACAAACCTGAGTGTCACGATCAAACGTAGCAGTAGTTCGTATGCCTTTGGTATTAGTTCCATGGCTGAGTTCTGTCAGAGCAAAGCAGCCAAAAATCTAGAAAAGGAGATACAAGGCACAATTTAAGCCTACTGTATTGCATCTGCCTGGTTGAAATAACTTGCATTTTGGAAACCAGCAAGTTCTGACTGCATGACAAGTAGGTCTGGAAACTCCCAAAGTTAGGGGAAAAACAGACCGAGGCTGTTTATTTTCAAAATTGTGAGTAGCCTACAGTAATGAAGGGGATAAATTTATATCAGATCATTGTATGCATACACTTGGTTCTCAGCAGCATTTGGGAACACTGCCTGCTTGGAGCAATGATGAAATGTGGAATCCTTTATTGGTTTGGCCTGTAGCACATTCAGTAGCAAAACTTTGAAAAGCAAGTGAGAATAAAGAAAAAAACCAAACCAAATCTGAAGCCTCAGCCAAAATTATTCTGACAAATAGACATCTTCTGGCTTTTGTGTTGCCCTAGAGCCATTAAAAGAATTCATCCCGACCTTTCACATGGGATATCAAACCAGCACCATGGAGCAGTACACTGCTGTCTGTGAGCAGACAGACAGACACAGGATTTCAGAAAATTAAGTAAGCAACGGGGGTGAATCATTGGGAAAAAAAACCAAATTAACAAAACAGAGGTAAGAACTGATAAAGACTAGCAAAAGAAGCATGAAGCTTAGTTTGGGTGCACTCAGGACATGTATCTTGGAATACTAGAGGATCAGGCAAGATAGTGAATGCTGCCCATGTGGCCAAATAGCACAAAGAGGAGAAACTGTGTAGGATTGGGTCCACCTGTATCAGATAGGCTGCCCTTGTTCTGCAGGGCACTCGGTCCTGAGTCTCCATTAGACTCCACAGGTGTTTCCATGGCATAAAGACTATTATTTTCTATTTTATAGCATCACAGCAGAATATTTATAGCATCATGGCAAGGGTGTGTGTTGCACAGTGTATGATGTAAACGTGGGAGGTAGGAGTGTCCAAGCTAACTTGCTAGGATATACTATTAAAGGACCGTGAACAGAGACAAAACTGGTGGATTGTCATCTATACTGCCTTTTGGGAGAAGTCCTCAAGCTCTGTCTGCATGTTAACTTGGACAGTCTAAAACAGAGCCAGGAAGAGGCATAATAGCTAGCAGGGAGGACAGGCAGGACTTGATGCTTCAGTCTGCTCTTTGGTCTCTTCTTTTCCTATTTAGAAGTACTTAGGAATGTAAAGAGATCAGAAACAACACAAGGGTGCTGGAAGTTCATATCAATCTGTGAGAAGTCCCATTCTCACAGATTGTCAAAGAAACCCAAAATTACCTCCATTCTATGAACCTGTTTCACAAAGTCTGCAAATCTCACAGAAGCACTTAAAATTGTGTTTCCAAATACCTGTAAAAACAAAGAACTATCAATTAAATCAGCAACCCCATGATGGAAAGTACAAATTGCACATGTGTAATAATTTGCAATAATGAAGTCCGTTACAGAGATCAGGGAAAGCAGGCTGCACACTAAATGACTACTTAGACTATAGCTGGAGGAGGTAAGTCGGGATTTGATCTTGTCAAGGGCTCTTTACAGAGGACTGCAATTTTCACAGCTCTGACCTGTTCAAGTCCTCATTAAAAATGCTTAATGAGCTCATTTTCCACTTGTTCTTACTGATGGCCCCTTGAGTAAAGTAAAACTTTATTCTAGTTTGCTTTATTGCTAATGGATTTGGAACTGAAAGTAGCTGCTTCAAGATCAGACAAGAACACTGTTTTTAACAGTTCCTTCAGTTTTTCTAGATGGATATTCACATAACAAAACTATAATTCCCAGATCTTCGTCTGCCACATGAATAGTAATCATTAATTAATTCAACTAATATTATTGAAGTATTCCAAGAGGCTGATCTAGGGAACAACTGATAAACAGAATCCCAGCCAGTGATGTCAGTGAGAAACTTTACACTGCTTTCTGTTCCTTCTGGATTCTGCCCTGAATCAACACACTGAGGGTGAGGCAAGGAGGTTCCTGATACCTGTATCTGTAGCAAAGACAAAGCCACCAAGCAGGGCCCAACAACCAAATTATTTGGCTGCTAATGCCGTGGAGAAGAGGCAGAGAAGTGGACAAAAGAACGTGGAATGGTAGGCATCAAAATATCTTTCTGTACCTCAGTTTATATTGTTCCACCTTTACTTTCCAGGTGGGATTGCAGTGGAGACATGGCTTAATGACAAAGATTTATTAGCTTCATCCCACTGCCCTCTGATTCTTCTAAACAGTTAAAAGCAATTTAATTTTTGAAAACCAAGGACTTGGAAAAGATAAATCTTCAATGAAATAGGCAGAAAGCAAGGGAATTACAATATTACATGACATTTAAATTCAAAGATACACCAGTACACATTTTGAACTTTACTTACGCCCTGATGTAAGAAGTACTGGAGACATGGAGACCAGTCGTACATTCCTATATAGGTCATCATATTAAGCATCTTTAATGGCTTCTCTATGATCTCTTGCTGAGTAAGAAAATCATACTCAAAGAGCCTTTTACAGCGCAGGAATGACAGCTCCTGATATTTCTCACGGCACAGGTCTTCTCCAGGATGATGTGCAAAGAGAGGATCACTTTCCAGAGCAGAGAAGATTCTGTTCTTCAGGGGGAAAAAGCTGACATGAGAACGTTAAATCTAAAAGCATTAACAAAACAAGATAGTGTTCTCCTAGGTCTCAAACTACATTTGCTTGACAGGGAGATACAAATTTATAAAGTCAAAACTCCAGAGAATTAAAAATATATATTTAAATGGTCTGCCACTATATACACAGTTCATGCAGTCAAATTTTATGAAAGCTCCTTCATCATGAAGTAGGAAGTGTGGGACCGATTGCCTCTGAATGTTAAAAGAACGGCATGGTAAAACTTTCTTGCTGTTTGTAACAGCTTCATTACTGCACTTTATGAAGCTGCTGGTGGGGTCTAAAGGGCAACAGCCCTCAGAGAGTAACAGTAACACTCCAGGGGTTACATTCAGTTAGAAATATGCCATGATGATAAAGCCCTTATGTTACCACAACTGTTCTATCCCCAGATGAAAGCAGAAATGAATTCCATTTAACAGACCAACCATGTGCAGCCATTCAATATGTGGATGGGCACTTTAAAATGTTTTAACTTGGATCTTTTTTTATTCGATCATATAGTAAGGCATATTTTTACCTCAGAACTCTGTGTGTTCAAGATATCCACATTTTAATTGTCCTTCATATGATTTAGAAAAAGTTCAGTGCCTTAGGTAAAAATCTTTTTAAAAGGCTTTTTAAGTCCTTGCCTCCTTTCTGAAGAGTGACACAGTAGGAAGGAAGAAAATCAGATGTCCTGTGCTTGTCTTTGAAAGATAGGGTCATCCTCTCTCTCTGTATGAACACCACTATTTGCCCACACAACTTCGAAACTCCCTCAGACACAGAGCACTTGTATTTCTTCTGTGCTCTTAAGTGGATCAGTCAGATGAAGAAGGGAGTGGTCTTCATTTCTTTGATCCACCTTCTAAGATTTTAATAATTACGGTGATTGTTCAAGATTACCTTAAATCCATGTAAATCTGCACCACCTTCAAAAAAGCCAGTTCTGTCTCTTCCTATGTCTGCAAGGCACGCACTCCTACACCATCTCTTGTGCTGCAATTCACCTTTTTTTGGTAGGGTTAGCTTTCAGTAAGGAAGGTGTGCTAATCTGTCCAACTGCAATGCCACGTAAGCATGAATGCAAGCACAGAAGATTGCAGGGGATTATGCCAGTCAAAGGAAGACAGATGCACTGTTTGACAGTGGCACAAACTTAGTTCAGTTTAAGTCCATTGTAAAACCATGGGATATATGACTTAATGCAAACACTAAAGAAATAAGGTAGAATATGTTGGGTTTGGTTTTTTTTCAGTTTGAAACAAATGAAAATTGGATGTGCAAGCTCACTTACTTTATGCTCTATACCTACAGAGTATTGTTACATACCCTCCCTTTGAAAATCACGTTCTTACTTCTACTGGTAAAGTATCTACAACATAGCTCACGCTTACAATTCTTGCAAGTTTACCTTGAGCTGGATGGTATCTTCTCCATCTAGGAACACTGCCATCTCCCTCCAGTTGAAGGAAGCTTTCTCTCGGTACTTGCAAAGTGGCCCTTTAGGGAAATCTGGTAGCAAAGTTTCCCATGAGCTCTGGTTACCAGTGGCCTCTTTCAGATTCAGTGTAGGTGCCATAGTTAGCTAAAGTGCATCAAACAACAAAAGACGTATCACACACTGAAGCACTCTAGAGGTCTAGTTTTTAATAATAAGAAATCTAAATGCTTGTTAATGAAATCCACAGACTTGTTCAAATGTGTGAGTTCAACAGTGCAGAGCCAACTTAAGCTTGCCCTTCCATTTTTCAATTCAATTGGCTTGGTAAAAGTTTTTTAAAAAAACAACTAAAAACCTTTGATCAAATGTAAATGAATGACATGCTCTTTTTTATTAAAATATGAGCTAAACCTTTTACAATAAGCAAAATATGAAACAGGGACACCATTGGTTAGTAGTGCATAATAAAAAAGGGGGAATGAGATAAAAAATCCAGGCAAAAAAAATAGCATAACTTAAATAATATACTGTGCATAATTGTTACATCCCCTCTAACTTAAATGGTAAATAATAAAACATAAAAACACCCAAACATGCATACAAAGCCCTGTTCAAATGCAGGAGATGCCTGCCATCTCCACCTTACTAGAAAATATTTAATCAAGTTTTAATAAATGACATGTTGGTGAGATGTCAAGGGCTGGTTTCATAGAACTGCAGTAATGAGCCATTGTTTGTGCATAAACACGAGACATCAGGAGCCAGTAGGAACTCTGCCCTCATCTCCCCCTCGCTGAATATATGGAAGAGTAAGTGGTTAATAAAACCTTTATTTCAGGTACCAAATTTCTGTAACATTATGCAAATTTGCATCCCCTTTGCCTGATTTAATCTTGTCCTGAAGTGAGTTAGTTCCCAGTTTGATCCACTTGGCTAGTGAGCACTATACTACCTGGGAACATCTCCCAGGCAGGTGGGAGTATGACACAAACAGGTAGCTGTACACGGGAAGCATCAGCAACTCCAGCCATCTATACAATCCCATTGCTTTGTCAAGGTCAACATTTAGAATTGTGGAACTAGAACAATATCAACGTATCCTTAACATTGACTTGAACAGAACAGGTGAACAGGACAAGCAGGAAGCCCTGTCTGCAATGGGTCTGTAAAAGGTACAGATTAAACCTACATAAACAAAGTAAAATAAAACTATTACAGTAGCAACTTCTACAAAACACATACCACTACAAGAAAGCTGGGGACAGACCTTTAACAAGGGCTTGTAGTGATAGGAGAAGGGGTAGTGGCTTCAAACTGCAAAAAGGTAGGTTTAGAATAGAAATTAGGAAGAAGTTCTTCACTGTGAGGGTGGTGAGAGACTGAAACAGGTTGCCCAGGGAAGTTGTGGATGCTCTGTCTTTGGATGTGTTCAGACCAAATAGGATGGGGCTTTGAACAACCTGGTCTAGTGGGAGGTGTCCCTGCCCATGGCAGGGGCATTGGAATGAAACGATCTTTAAAGTCTCTTCCAACCAAAACCATTCTATGATTCCAAGTTGGCCTCAGATTCTTTTTTGCTCCATCAAAAGCAGAAAGGCCCCCTGAAGACTGCTGATATTTTATTGTATGTATTTATGAGTCATGAAAGTGCATTGCAAAAGTTCACAGAACCAGCAGGATTTTGTTATTAGTAGGCAAAACAGGTCTGGTTTTGGAGAGAATGGGAATCTCGCTTTTTGTTATAACCGGCCCAAAGAGCAAAGGCTTATGCCTCTGCTGCTATCCGGAGCAGATGTCGGAGTGCCCTCTGCTGCTGCCGGCTCATATCGCACCCAGCGATCTGTCCCTTCGTGCCGACGGCAGAGATCTCCCTTAGGCTTTTAGGGAGCAGGAGACATGGGGCAGGGGAGCAGAAGCTGGCCACATTATACCAAAGCGACTAGCTGGTGGGTTGGACTAGACGACCTTTAACGGTCCCTTCCAACACAAAGCATTCTACGATCCTAAGCAATTCTCAAGGGTACTGGGAGGACATTGAGGCTCAGGGCTGGCCAAGGCCTCAGTACGGACTATGAACATAAAGAAAGTTCATTCTAATATTTCCATCGCTTTTTTTTTTTTTTTTTTCTTCATCCATCTTGATATATCTCCTTGCTATATTTCTTTTTCTCTTATGGAGGTAATTTTATAGTTCTAGGCAGTACAGACACACTAGAAGAGGCATGCAGGGTAGTATTTCTGCTTGTGGCTTCTAAATTTGCTCCAGGAAAATGCAGTTCCAGTACCCAGCGAGAGCTTTGGAAAGGAAAAAAAAAAAGGGGGGGTGGAAGTGGGGGAAGCATTGAGAAAGAGCATTTCAACCTGAAGCCAAATAGATATTACTCACTCTTCTAACTGGAAAACCGGTAAAGTAGGCAAAAGTTCATGGTTTCTGGCTCAGAACAGAGAGAATTTACATCAAACTACTGCAGCTGTTGCAGTTAACTTTACTTACATTGCAAATCAATAAGTTTGCTCAAATGAGAAAACCTATGCATGTATAAAAAAGGGTCCTGTACTTAAGAATTACAATTTCTCTGTCTTAACATAATGTTTTAATATAATTTGGTTCCAGGCAAAAAGTTTCAGAACTAATTAGGAAACCAAAACAGGCAGTTACCATAAGTAAATAATGTAGGGCTGCCTTAAGTAATAACCTCAGTGTTAATTTCAGCCTTCCACTGATATTTTGAAATCTACCTGTGGATGTGAAAAACAAAGGATGTTATTTTCAACTTGATGAGAACTGGTGCAGTTTCCTGAGAAATGCCAAGTTGAAAACTTCATGTGGAAGCTGCTCCTGCTAGTGATTAAAATTCATGGCTGGACAACAACAACGGTTTGCAAATCAGGAATGAGTATTTCAGTCAGCAGTGTATTGATATAAGGAAACAAACTAGAACAGAAAACTTGTAAAGCTAACCATTTATATGTAAAATAGAAACTAACAATGTATGTAACATAACAGAAAGCTAAAAAGTTAGTCAAAGAAAAACAGATGCTTCTTTGATCTGCCATCCCAGACAGCTAACAAACCCTTATGAAAGCTCATGGGCATCCTGCACCTCTCAGCAAAACAGGGAGAAAAAGAAGAATAGGGATAGCAGGACCAGATACCTTGAACAAATGGAAGGACTTGTTTTCTAATGCTAACAAAGCTCATCCACAAACAAGGGAAGAACCTTCCAGCTTTATCTGAAGAAAACAAAGACAGGATGATATCTGTCACAAAGGTATTGAGCAGGACTGATCCAAAGCTATAAACTTGCCAAATCATCACATTCCAGACAAGAGGTGAAAAGTACATCGTGAGGATGACATCCAGCCTTCCTCCAAGGGACCACCGCCCAC